AACCACTCCTTCCTTATTGGAAAGCAGTAGAATGCTCCTTTGTCTAAATTGCATGGGCGAGAAAGAACACACAAATACAGGACATACATGTCTAGTGGTTAAGATTATATATTAAGAGAACCTCTTTTGTGCTCTTGGGAATTTACAACACAGATGGTATTGGTTTCTCTCCCGTTGCCCTCTTTATTTACTTCCAATACGGAAATTAATTTTATTTGGGATCTACTTGGCCAGCAAAATTCTACTGGTCCAAAGTGTACATTTGAATCTTTTTATTGAATGTGGTATAAATTGGAAGCAGACGTTGAAGAAGAAGTTTAAACCAACATGACAAAAATGTCACTTAATTAAGCCACCCCATGTAGATTTTGAAGCAAGGAAAAAAAACAGACATAAATCATCTGTGAACAGCAATGCCGCAGCTCTGAGAAATAAGAGTGTTAATGCACTTCAGTTGTCTAAACAGAGCTCAGTAAATAGGTGATAGATATACACACAAATTATGGGCACAAAGAAAGATTGATGATAGATAGATAGATAGATAGATAGATAGATAGATAGATAGATGATAGATAAGTATATAGATAGATATTAGAGGATAGATGGATATTAGGGGATAGATTGATAGGTAATAGATAGGTAAATTGATGATAGATAGATCATAGATAGGTATATAGATAGATAATAAAAGATAGATAATAGATAGATAATATATGATAGGTACATTGATGATAGATAGGTAGATAGATAGATAGATAGATAGATAGATAGATAGATAGATGATAGGTAGATAGATAGATAAAAGATAGATTGGTGATCAATAGATTGGTGATAGATAGATAGATAGATAGATAGATAGATAGATAGATAGAGATAGATAGATAGATAGATAGATAGATAGATAGATAGATAGATGTAAACTGAAGCATTACAAAAAAAACTTCAATTTTTTTATCCATTATCCCAGGAACAAAAATTTAGAAAAAACTTAAGACAATGTCTTTATTAGTCAATTAATAAGCCCAATATTATATGCCAAACCACTTCAATGTATCATCAGAGAATTTCAGCTTACACATCCAGTTTAATATGGAGTGTATGAACAATAGGCTATGATACTTTATTAGTGAGTGTGTTATGTGCTATTTTTTGCCATACTCCATCAAATGACTGTCACCTACACAGTGCTAAGATAATTTCTTTTTGAAGATAAGTAGAAGAACAAAACTGCCTAGCAACTGACTAGTGCTTTGCATAGATCAATCCACAGTCAGCTAGTATTATCTTGTTCTCATTTAAAAACTGGGAAAATTTAGTCAAAGATTGACTCCATAAAGGGAACAAATGACAAAAGCTTTAAAAAGATATGTATCTGCATATCCAATGCTAGACTGTATTTTCTAGTCACAGTCTAAACCAAACCATCCAACTAAAGCAACTAAACAGTTGAAAAAATAACATCATTTATCTTCCTGGGGAAAGGTGAGAAAATGTTCATTTGTACGGTGCTGTCTATTTCTGTCTACTAAGGGGTAGATGTTTAAACTTACCTTGATCTCTGTTATGGGGAAGGGTATGTGAAGAATTGGACAATATCCCCTGTGACTGGGGAAGCCAGTCTTGTTTCAGACTGGGAAATTAAAGCCCAGTTCAGTCATGCACATATGACTAATTTAGTAAGTAGCCGACCCATGCTTGCTTGCTAGTGCTGGATTTGGGTAGACATGCTTGCTGTTAGTCTAACTGTTGTACACGGTAGTCATTCAGCACAGACACCCAGAACACATATCATTGTTTACTGTGACTGAAAACTCAGAGTCTTGCAAGCAGTATTATTAAGAACCAGGAAGATTACGAGCTGGCAAGATGGCAAGTAAAGACACTTGCAGCTGAGCCTGACTCCCTGAGTTTGATCCCCAGGACACACATGGAGAAAGGGCTATGACCCCCTCAAGTTCCACATAACCATCAATTTGTATCTTAAATTTTCAGATTGACACTCCTTCTGATCGCCCTAATATCTCAGAACAAATGACTCTTTCCAATGTGAGAAGTGAAAGATAGTTGTGTCTCCTTGAAATGATGGGACTTTAACTTGCTGGACTATTTACTATTTACTTTACTATCTGTCATAATGATGGATGATTACGTTAGGTTCTCAAAGCTGTTGGCCTTTGAACACACTTGCTTTCAACACACACAAGCATTTTATATTTATTTCTCATGGTGCTGGAGCACCCATGCTAGTCAAGTGCTCAACCACTGAACTATATTCCATTTCCTAGATTTATACCTTTGACAAAATTTTTTTCATGTTTAAGCAATATTTAAATTTGGAGAATTTATAATTATATCATTATTACATACAGCACACATGGAAAAGAGATTCTGGGGTTACAGAATGGAAGGTCTAGCCTAGGCCTCATAAAATCATGTTTTGATACGCTCCTTCGTATTTGCTGTGTCGATGTTTGACAATAACCACAGAAGTTTCTCCATATGTCGGATGTTTATAACTTCAAACGTTCACAGCTTATTCCCTCACTGTCAATACTCAGAGCCAAAACACTACTGCTTTATTTAATGTCAATATAAAATAGAAATTTGAGAAAATGCCAAAAGAAATGGAGCTTTTATAAATTGATAAAAGCATTTATCATTACTCTTATTGTTTCTATTTCAATTAATTAATTGGTACAAAACCATTAAGGATATGCATATCAATGACTCCTTGGTGTGTCAGCACGTGTATACATGGTATAACATTTAAATCGAGATAAGTATAGTTACCTTCTCACCATTAGCATTTGTTGCAGATTTATTTTTATTATTTTCAAGTGTGTGTGTGTTGTGATCTAGCTGCCCTCACTCCCCCTGACAGCGAAATTTCCTTGTGGTCTATAATTGACAAGAATGTTTATGTTCTTTCTGGCTAGAGGTTTTCCACAGAAGCAGTAGAGGTATAAAAGGTTTTAGCTGAGGCAAAATAAAGCTTGCTCTTCTTCCACCTGAAAAAGAAGCTTCTGTGTCTCAATCCCGGCACCCCCTGCCAGTCTCGGCAAGTCCAGGATGTTCCTGCAGTGCAGCATGTGTGTATGTGTGTGCATGCGCCCACTTGCACGCGTGTTTTGAGGTATGTGCTGTGAGTGCAGTGTCTGTGGAGGCCAGAAGATGGCATCAGATTTCCTTAAGGTAGAGTTACAGAAAGTTAAGAGCCACTGGATACAGTCTGGGAAACAAGCCTGCGTTCCCTGGAAGAGCAGTGTCTTGGTCAGGGTTTCTATTGCTGCAACAAAACACCATGACAAAAAGGCAAGTTGGGGAGGAAAGGGTTGATTTGTCTTATACTTCAGTATTGCTGTTCATCACTAAAAGAAATCAGGATAGGAATTAAAACAGGGCCGGATTCCAGAGGCAGGAGCTGATGTGAAGGCCATTTCAGTGGCCTGAAAGTCCAACTCCCAAGTCACTACCCAGGGTAAGTCAGAGAATATTTCTCAAGAGAGGATTGAAAGATTTCTATAATAATTTCACAGATGATCTGAGACTTATTCTCTTTTTTATTCTGTATCTAATTCCCTTGCTCTAATCGTCTCTAATTCTCTTTAGTTCCAACTCTCTGTTTCAATTCCCCCCTGCTTTTATATTCATCTAGCTTAAAAAATTTTTTTACAGGAGGCTTGAGGCAATAAGAAAAAAGTTAAAAAATTACATCTCATTGGTTTTAGCACATTCCTTGAGTAAATTATAAGAACAGAACCATTTACCATGGCAATGTAAGGTTTCAAAGTTCCAGGTGTAAGACTGTGACCAGAGGCCAGGGGCACAGTGCCCTGTGAGACCTAGGACTTTATCAGTCAGACTCGACAAGTGAAGAATTGGAATTTTTTTAGGTTGCTTTAAGTTAATAACCTTGGTTAGACACCTACAACTCTGACCTTGTACATATCTATAAAGTTTCCATTTTATGATCCATCTTCAGAAACATTCAGCCTAGTTTGAACTTGCTCTGAGGTAAAAATGAGCTAATTGTGTATAGTCTGAGTAAGGCTTTTCATTGTCTTATAGTCCTCGTGAGACAATAGATATAACTATGAAGCATAACCTAGTATATTTTCTATGTATCAAAATTATACAGCTAAATGAGAAGTCATCTTCCTGACCATCTATGGATATATGTGTCCGTAAGATTGAGATGCAATCATGGAATTACACATACATATCATATGAAATTACATACTACACTGCAGATATTGGGGAGACACCACAGCTGCTTAAGCAAATAGGAAATTACAGAGAAAAGCAGCAGTTTCCAGAGTTGGTGGCCCCATAGTCCCTGCCTCCTCCATCAGAGAATCACTCCTCTGGTGGGTTGTCATCTGAACACTAGTTGTCACCTGCTGCAACTCCCATGAACTCCCAGAGGCCATGGGAGAGCTGCTTACTGGCTGGCTTCCCACAGCTTGCTTGGCCTATCTTCTTATAGAACCCGGGACCAGCAGCTTAGTGATGGCACCACCTCCCATTGGCAGGGCCCTCCAACATTGATCCTTAAATGAGAAAATGTCCTACAGCTGGATCTCATCAAAGCATTTTCTCAACTGAGGCTCTCTGATGACTCTAGCTTGTGTCAAGTTGACACACAAAACCAGCCAATACAAGGCAAGTGCTCCTACCAGCTGAGCCATCTCTCCATCCTCTTGCTAGCTTTCTTTATGATGAAAATTTTCACCTCTCTAACTTAACCTCTGGAATAGCATGTTGCTTCTGCCCACAGAATCCTGTTGTGTGCTAGCACACTCGGCCATCTTGCTCTGTCTGACAGCACCTGCACCGCTCACAATCTGCCTTCCCCCCCTCTTGCTCATCGTGATGGTCTCCCAATAACATCTGAAGTAATACAGAACTTCTGGTCACTGTCAAGTGCCAGCCCCACTTCTTAGCACTCCTTGTCACTCCAGGGAGTCTTAAGGAACCTCTGCCAGTCCCCATGATCTTACCACCGCCTCTACTTTCTGCCACTGTGCCATCTTTGCAGCAGTTCCTGAAAAGGTGGGTCTGGGAATCCTCGAAGGTGATGCTTCCTTATCCATCCGTTGGACTCCAAAGATGTGCTCATGTCACAGGATGACAGACAGCTTTGCCACACCAAGACTTTCCAGGCAGTCAATAGAACTTCTAGACGCCATTCATTTCACTGTGAGGACCGATCCATATCTGTTGTCAGAGTGAATTCACATTATCGCTTTAAGTTTTCCCTAAATACCCGGGTCACTCCTCAGCTGCATCTTTCTGATGAGCGCTGCTCCATCTGCACCTCATTACGCGTGAATGCGCACGTACATATGCGTAGGCAGAAACACATGCACACGTGCACAGAAGGCAGAAGAGAAGCTTGGGTGTCACTCCTCAGCCCTGCTTGACCACAGTCATTCATTTATACTTCCTGTTCCTCCCTTCTCTTTTCCCACTCTCCATCCATTCATGCCTCCTAGCTCTTCTTTTCAGCCTTCATTTCCTGGTTATTGTTTTTGTTTGCTTGTTTGTTTGTCTTTTGCTTTGGCACAATCCATTCCAGACATGTAAACACTTCCTCAAGCCAACCTGGAAGTTGCTTTTGTACCACAGAGCATTAACTCCTGGCACCTGCGCATTGTGCCTATGATTACCCTAGGCATGGGACGGGAGAAACGCTGCTGGCATGTACTGGTGTGAAGCTAGTTGGGGCTTCTGCATAGGAGTGCTGTTATCATTAGAATGGGATACAGTGGGGCTGAGAGACTTTAAAGTGCTAAACTAGAGAAGTCTAATGAAGGCAGCTTTGAGAAGATGACCAGGAGGTTTCAGGTAGACAGATTGGGGCAAGACAAAGGATCCCAAGCAGAGACTAACACGTGGAAAGAGACAAAGCCATGAAACAATGAGTTACATTCAGGGACCTATAAACAGTCCTATTTTGCAGAATATAACATGTAAGGATATAATGACCATCAATGAAGCTAAAGAGACAGCAACCAAAGTCCCATAAATTCCTGACTTTCTTTGTAGCTCTCCAGAGAACTAAAAACTGTTCTGCCATTTACTTGGTTTTATGTGTGCTACAGTGTACCTTATTGTTTGTCCAAGTTTATGAGACATTTTATGCTCTATAAAGGCAAGGGTATGAAGTCTTCTCCTTCATATTCAAGCACGCCATGGGCATTTTGAACAAAGATGGAGGGAGATTGTAAACGATTATCAAGGACTTTATATTTCATTCCAGCAGGCGCCCAGATGTTTGAGAGTAAGTCTCACATCTGGCCCATCCTCCTCATTGCCCAGCACGGAACTGTCCATAGAGAAGAAGACCAATGATACTTTACTGAAAAATAACACATCAGTTAGATGATGTCTGAACTCTGTGGCTTTAATAGAAAGCTGTAGAAAGGGTGGATTTTCTGTGAGAGGCTGCTGCATTGTGAGAGAGCTGTCAGTGAAGTCTGGTTTGAAAAATTTTAAGGAACAGCAAAGATGTTCCTGACATCTAGCTACTTTCAGAATGACTAGCTAAATCCTCCAGAACAGCCAAGCTAATTCATACCATGAAGCCCGGCCTCTAAGTTTCTTTTCTAGATGCTGAAATATGGACTTCCCAAGGCATAGAGCTTGCTGGTAACAGTTTACATTTATCAAAATGGGAAGATGTCGGTGTGACTTTAGGGATTAACTCCATTTAGGAGCAGTAATTGCTTGTTGGCATCTGCTCCTAAATGCCATATTCTCAACATAAGCACAGAGAAGTTTGTCACTGATTCAGAACATGAATGATTCATAGACCACGGCCAACAGACATCGCCAGCTGCACACCTGTGGCTCTGGCATCTCTGCCAAAGGACCAAAAGAAATGGGATGCCTACATAATATTGGGGACTTCCGTTCTGTTTTTCTTCCTTTCAAAACATCATTTAACATTCCAAACAAATAACGCAACCCCCCAAAGGATATAAAAGGCTAACCCTCATATCCACAAGTGACTCCATGGAAGGGTTGAAGATTGACAGTTTTTATATGGTTGGGTCTGTCACTTTTCCTCTGCAGAAATCTTATTTTCCATGAAAAAAAAAACTTAGGATGTATTGTTTGCATAATGACTTGATAATTTTAATAAGAGTGAAATAGAAAACATCTGGCAGAAACTATGGAAGAATCCATACTAACTAAATTAAGTAACTAAATTATAGACGAGGCCACAGAGTCAAGACCTCAGGGTCAAAAGGTTAGACCACGGCAGAATCTCATGGTTCACCTGTGAGTTAATGACCTGGGGCACTGAATCTGACCTATAAGCAGAAGGACTTTATGAATTTTATGAACATGGTTTTTATGAAAAGTTCAATTTTCAAGGCATTTAGAACTCAATATGTTTCCTACACATCTTTATTGGCAACTCTTTCCTCCTGTACCAGCATGTGAGCCTTAGCTTCGCCTGTCGCTTCAACCTGGATTGTCAGCAGCCATTGCCTTGAGAGCAGTGGCCCTGCCTTTCTGTGATGGCTTTCAGCTGCCACTCTAAGCACAAGGTTTCTTGAGGCATTTGAACTTCTGATACCTGCACTTACAGAGTGCTAAGTGTATTTAACTTCCATATCATGAAATTGTGAAAATAATATATGCTGCATTTTTATCAGGTGAATGTGGATAATACTTCTATAATATGGTATCATCTGACAATACAAATATAATTTGCTTCACATGTTATAGTGTAAAACTAATTTAGGGATTGACTTCTACTTAATGAAATATGCTTATAACGGTTTAATGTTATCTAGTTAACACAGATTGTGAGTATCTAATTCCTTTTAAAATCTTCCCCTTGAAAGTCAACTAGGACACATGAGCACTAAACCAGAGTAAGTCCTATTCAATAGTATAGGGTCTAGAGCTAGAGCAACTCTGTGTGTGTGTGTGTGTGTGTGTGAGAGAGAGAGAGAGAGAGAGAGAGAGAGAGAGAGAGAGAGAGAGGGAGGGAGGGAGAGAGGGAGACAGAGACAGAGACAGAGAGACAGAGAGAGATCTGTTCTGATTGGTTTTTAAACCATAGCATACACCTTGAATTAGATTTGATCTAAGAATGGTGAAATAGTCGACAATAATTGTTCCTCTATGTACCAGGGAGCCTGATACCTAGCACACAGTTGGCCTAATTTGTCTAATATATGGTGAGCAAATATTTATCCTACCTCAAAATCTCTTTCTAAGGAGCAGTTATAAGAATATAAAGGTAAGTGATATTTGGCATTCACATCCTTTCTACCCCTCCCTGTCCTCGACATCCCTCTAATCTCTCTCAAATTCATAATCTATTATTTTTAATTATTGTTGTGTTGTGTGGGTATGTGTGTGTGTGTGTGAGAGAGAGAGAGAGAGTGTGTGTGTGTGTGTGTGTGTATGTGTGCTAAATCCATTCATCATTGCTCATTTGTACATGTGTTTAGAGGATTGGATAACTTATCAGGGAACTCATCCCTAGCAAAGAATGATTTTTCCATTAATTGAACATAGTTCTCAATCTAATTATAGGACCCTGGGAAGCTTTCCCCCATTTTCATCACCATGTCAAATGGTGGTGTCAGTATGCAGGTCTTGTTTAGGCGAACTTATCTGTTAGATCTCAAAGTGAAGCTTCCCTGTCCTATCTCCATGACATGATCTTGCACAGAGTTCCTGGTCCTTTGGCTCTTACAATCTCCCTGCTTCTCTCCTACCATTTCACTTAGACTTATAAGCTTCACTGTAAATGTGTTTTTGGGGGCTGGGCACCCCGTGGTCAGGTGTTCTCTGCATTTCAACGAGTTGTAAATTTCTGTACCAGTCTCCACCTGCAGCAGAAAGAAGCTTCCATGACAAGGGGCGAGAGCCCTTAACTGTGGGGACAAGGCCAGGATTTTAGACGGAATGAGAAATTACACTGATTTAGGAAAATAGCGGGTGTAGGCGCTCCTCTAGGACCATGACCTTAGAGGTACAGGTGGTTGGCTAAGTTCATAGTACCAGGCACCAATGCCCCTCTATTGAGTGGATTTTACGTCCAAGTAAATAGTCATTTGTTGCACCCAAGATGTTAGTGCCACTGTTATAGCACTGGAGACTGTGGGAGTTTGAATGAGAATGGCTCCCATAGGCTCACAGATTTGAATACTTAGACACCAAGAAGTTACATTATTTGGAAGGATTAGGAGGTGTGGCCTTATTGAAGGAGGTGTCAGTTTTGAAGTTTCAGAAACCCAAGCCAGACCCAATGACTCTCTCTTCCTGCTGCCTGTGGATTCTGATGTTGAACTCTTGGCTGTTTTCCCAGCAGCATGTCTGCCTGCATGCCCCCATGTTCTTTGAAATGAGAATGGACTAAATCTCTAAAATTATAAGCAAGTCCCAATTAAATGCTTCATTTATAAGAGTTGCTGTGGCCATGGTGTCTCTTCACAGCAATTAGACACTAGCTAAGACAGAAGTTGGTACCAGGGAGCTAGGTATTGCTATGACAGACCTAACCATGCTACTTGTTATCAAACTGTGGACTTTGGGACTTTGGATTAGGAAAGCAATTAAATGCTTTAAGTGGAGCTTAATGGGCCTTACTAGAAATGGGTCATACTGAGAGCAATTTGAACTGTGGGGACCCAGATCAATAAGTTTCAGAGTGGAAGAATGTAGTCGGAGACTGCTTGTTCATTCCCAGTCACCCAGACCCAAAATAAGCACACCGAAACTATATTAATTGCAATACTGTTTCACCAATAGCTTAAGCATATTTCTAGCTAACTCTTGCATCTTAGATTAACTTATTTCTATTATTTTATATTTTACCACAAGATTTGTGGTTTACCGGTACCAGCATGCGGGTCTCTTTCTCCTTGGGTGGCTACGTGGTGTCTCTCTTACTCTGCCTTCTTTCTCCCAGCATTCAGTTTAGTTTTCCCTACATTGCTCTATTCTGCCCTGCTAGAGGCGTAAAGCAGCTTCTTTATTAACCAGTGGTGTACAGAGGGGAATCCCCCATCAGAAGAATATTAATAAGTAGCTTAGAAACCTTTCTTGTGATACTTGGGCAATGACTTTATAACCTTGTCCTAAAAATCTGCCTAAGGCTAAATTAAAGAGTTTTCTATTTTTGGCATTGGCAGACAATGTATTAACTGGGTCTTGTGGTTATTAGTAATATTTCAGGACCGGGGATGTAGCTCAATGCTAGAATACATACTTTCTATATATAATTCCTTGATTCGACTCTCAGCTTTCTTCTGCGTGCGTGTGTGCGTGTGTGTGTGCGCATGCACGCACACGCGTGCATGCATGAGAGAGAGAACATGCACACAAGAGAGAAAAATCCTCATAATTTACTTGCTACTTGTGTTAATAAAATTAGCAGTTTAATTATCCCTCCTATGTTGCATTGCATTCTCACCTCAAAAGGGTTCAAAGTGAATCATTAAAACTTTTTGATCACCATTTTTAAAAATCCAAGCATAAGTTTAATTAATCTGAATGTGTAACAATTTTGTAAGAGCTTTTTGGAAAGGGAAGACCACAGATGGAGTAAATAGTGACTATTTTAAATTCAGATATTATAGACCAGAGATGCATGTACACCCCTGGCCCGTGTTGTTGCCTATAAAGCAATCATTTAAGGGCATGGAACAATGGGTGAGTCCACATTACTCTAAAACATGAATCCTCCTCCTCTCTGATAAATCACCGATTTAGTGAAACTGAACACTATTCTAATAGATAATTAGACTTATTATTAAAGTTAGGTGGTTGACTTTACTGTTCATGCATCTCCGCCACTCAAGGCACCATTACATATTCAAAAGGTACAGCGGCGATAAATCACTCCACTTCCAAAAGATGTGTAAAATCGAGGCGAGCTCTTTAATCCTGTTTAGAAACTACCTCTTTCAAGTGGCAACTTTTAGATGTTAGCAGCACATTCTGGGACAGAGCATCATGTCCCATTACCAGCTCAGTGGAGGCCACTGTCACTCAGCGGGGTGAAATCCTTCTTGCATACTGAATGCTAGCTTTTGGTAAGTCACACTTTAAATAGGGGGAACAACCCAACAACTTGTTCTTGCCTGTCTCTGGCAACCAACTAACACCACCAGAGAGATCTGCCATTTAGAAAATTCCTGAGCCAGGAGGTAGATGATGGGCCCTGACATACGGAAGTCAGAATTCATGGTTGACCCTCTCTGTGTGCAGCAAGAAAGGCTTGACCTTACAGGACAAAAACAGCCGGCCCTGTGATGCCAGGCCATGTGCTGTTTCTTTGAAGAAAATAGGTGGCTGTCCCCAACAGGCCTTCTGATCCCGATTCAGTGTTGAAGGAAGTTATGTAACCCGGAGCTATGATTGGATGGTCCACCTCAAATGTGTGTCTTTTCAGCATCCTGTTCAGAGAAACAAGCAGCAACTGGGAGCCAACTGTTGAGGAGGAGGATGTTTGTGGTGAGTAGCTAAATACAGGGTGAGATTAAACATGTTTTTCATAACACTGTTAAAAAATCGGCAAAGATCACTTCTACAATTTCAAGTGCTCAGATGGAAGGTTTCAATATTATAATGACTATATGGATAGCTTAGATCTGACATCCTAAAGAAAAAAAACTATTTTCTAATGTTTAAGAAAACATCAGAAGGTATTAAGAAGCTAGAATTGTGGTGGTTCCAACTTTTTCTCAAGAATCCGGATCTTTCACAGACTCTGATGATTTATTTCCTTTTATTGGAAGAATCGGTAATGTGTAATGAAGCCTCATTTACAAATGCACACAAATATCAAGGCGGAATATAAATACTTCAAGAACTGAAGCAACTGAAAAGCTAATCCAATTCTTGCTGTATCCCAAGTTAAAGTATCAGTCTTCCAACTTCCAACCTAGCGTCTGACAGAATGTTGAAATAACCTCAGAGGAATCTTGTCGCTCTCCTCAGGTTCCCCACTGTCCTAAATATCTATGGTGGTTGGACAGTTACCAAACACTTGCTTCCATTTCTGAGGATCTATAATTGTGCACTGGGATTTTCAATTTCCATTCCGCAATACATCAAGACAATTAACCAAGTGGGTGTGAAATATGAGCAGCAGCTGGTGGTTTATTCATCACAGAGTCAGGTATCTAGGTATCATAATTTTAGCAAACAGCCTGAAACAGTAATATTGTCCACTGAACTTGTGAACAATAACCATTAACTTTTTAATAGGCATTGCACTTTCCTCACACAAAAGGTGTTTGTGAACCCTACTTCTGAATTAACACACATAAAAGGTTATGGGTGCAAAGTTTTTAAAAGGAAGGAAAAAAACCCACTTCATTACTTCAAGTCTGGAACTGAAACAAATCACAAAGCATTATATGGAAGTTTAAAATAAACTGGGTGACCTTGTCTTCTGCCTACAGGTTCCTGTGGGACCTCATCAGAATACAATAAGTAAGACGATGCTTGAAGATCAGAATCTCTGATCATTTTCTCTTCCGCCACATCATGATTTAAGGTTTTGTATATGAATGTCAGCATTGTTTTAAAAAGCTGTTATATAATGGAAGATTTTGTAGCATCTATGTTAATTAAATTGGAACATTTTCTTCGTGTGTTAATCAATAATGTTATTTTTACTATAATTTAAACAACACTAATGCTTCCTATTCTCATTGTTACGTTGAAAGTTGATGTTTCATCATCATGCAGCTAAAGTCTCACAATGGCAATAATTGCTGTGCATCTGTATGCTCCCATGCAGAACAGCGTTGTTGCGCATGCCTTCATTTTTATAATGATACAGTCACAATCTGCTCTTAATGTAAACACCAGTGTTCCATCAGCCTTACAAATCCACAGGCGACAGCACTTCAGAAAGTGTCAGCCTTCTTATCTCTGTTCCTCCAGGGAATTCATTTTCACATTGGCAACTTGGTCCCTATTTTTAGAATTAAATGTACGATTCTCTCACACTGGAGTGAGAAGGAGCCTGCTCATTCATCATTAAGCAGGTTGTCTGTCTCTTCACACTTAAAAATAGAAAAAGGTTGCTGTCCAACTCAACTTTTTTTTTTTTTTTTAGAAAAGTATCCCAAAATTTTAGACCAAAGAATAACTATTTTGTTTCTGTCCATGGCAGTGTTTATCAGCCTGTGTGTGTTTTAGGGGATGGGACAAGAAGTAGAGAAAAAAAATATAGATCCTGCTGTCAAGTGGCTAATCTCATTCTCTAGTTTTTGGTTCTATTGCGAGTTTAGTCTCTGTCATCAATGGTAAAATGCTACTTTCTAGCGTGTTGTGAGGTTCATTGACCAGTGGGGGACACCTGCTTCCTTTCATCTTGTTAGTTCCGCTTTGAACATTTGAGACTAAAGCTCTTTGTCAGCAATCTTGTCACCCAGACTACAGTTCTAGACAAGAAATTAATAAGTGTGATTTAATGAGCATATATGGTATATGAAAATAAGTATGTTAATTACCTAAGATTTATTACTTCATGTAAAACAGTGAACACTCCTAAGGTATCTTCTGCTTTCTCCAGCAGATCATTGAAACTCATAGAGTTAATTAGTTTGCCCAAAAGCATAAAGACAACTAAATACAACATAGGTCTTTGAGATTCAACACCTTACCTAATACATTAAAATAGATTCATTTCTAACGATTTATATTCTTTTATAAGGAAAAGAAAGTTTAGTGTGAATGAGACTTCGTCTCACCTTTTAGGATGACAATGATCAAAAAGACAAGCTATAACAAGTGACCTATAAAAAGAAGAGCTCCTTCTTTTGTAAACAAAGTTTCTTGAAACACAGTCACATATACTAGCTTGCATATTTTAAATAATGATTTTATATATTCTTTGAAAAATTCATACATTTTATGTATTTTATCATATTTACCCCCACAATCTCCTTCCGGTTCCCTCCAGGATCCCCATAGCATCTCCCTCCCAACTTCACATCCTGTTGTTGTGGCTGTTATTTTGAGACAACATCTCACCATTATTCCTGGTTGAACTCCCTGTGTAGACCAGGCTGGCCTGGAGCTCATACCTAAAACTCAAAGATCCACTTGCCTCTGCCTCCTGAGAGCTGGAAGCCATGACCTGCACTTTAAAATTAACCACCCACCAAGTCAAATTAGTGCTGCTTGTGTGTGAATGATTGCAGGGCCACTCACTGGAGCTCTGGAAACCAACTAACAGCGGCCCTGCCTACGAGATAACTCTTCCCTCATTCAGCAGCTGCCAACTGACAGTGATTCACAGTTATGGGGGCCCTGGCAGCCCATTCTTCATCCATGCTCGATTTTTGGCTGGCCTGCTAGGTGCAGATCTTGTACAGGTAACCATAGCTGCTGTAAGGTCACATGTGCAAAGGCCATGCTCTACCCAGAAGACAACATTCCAGCGCTTTCCTTACCATCCCCCAACTTTTAAAGTATGGCCACCCTCTCTTCTGCAGTTTCCCCTGAGACTTGGGTGGGGAAAGGTTGATAAAGATAACCCACCTGTGGATGAATACACGAAGCCATTTATTCGAAGTTCTTGGTCTATTTGCAAATCTCTGCATTAACCGCCACTCAGTGCAAAAAGAAGTTCCTCTAACCAAAGCTGCAAACATCACATACCTGTTAACATAAGCGTAAATATAAAGCAATTTGATATGACACTCTAGCAAAACCGCAGTAGGTTTCTTCTCCAGCGCCTATAACTTCCTCATACATGCACTTGTGATTGTGTTTATAGTTTTTGTGTTTATAATGAATTCCCTCCTGTAGAACAGGCCTCGGATTCAAACAGGAAACAGTAGGTTACCCCCATAACAATCATACCACTGTTCTACCAAAGGGCATATCTTGCTTGGAAGATCAGTATTACATTATACAGGGTCCAGCACTGAGTAAAACCACTGATGTCTTCCCTTTGACCCCAGGGGACTCTATAGCACCTTACAGTACTGAGAGTTAGCCAGCAAGTACAGGGGTTCCTCATCAGGTTGAGACTGACCTGTCTACATCCAACAACCAAAGTTTATGGTGTCTTCAATAATAGGTATTTACTATTTAGTTTATGGTTGGCAACCAAAGAACATGGCAATAGCCTGTGTTGTTTTGAGTGCCCCTGGGCCTCCATGACTAAGAACTCATAAGGAAGCATCCCATTAATAACATATTTTCATTTAATAACTCAAGCCTTTTAGGAGCAGGCACTGTTCGCCCATACAGGATACTCTGTTCCTCCTCCTTCTTTAATTGCATTTTTAATTAGCTTATAAATTAGTGGGGTCCCGTATAAGCTTCTTCATATACTCTTAATTTTAATTAACCTACCCTACTCCTCCCTGTCTCCTATCCCATTTCTCCTATGCTAACTAAAACCTTTAGTGCCCTGGAGCTATTATATCTATACCATAGTGTTGGTAGGAACACAAGTTAGTTCAGTCATTTGTATGCAGTTTTGAACTTTCTCAGACACCCAGGAATGTGACTGCTGTGCGGTCAAACTGAACTACTAGTGGGTATCTCCCCAAGGGGGTGCTGCCAGGATGTCAATGAGACACTGAGGTGCCTTGTTTATCATAGCACTAAGCACATCGCTAACATGCAACATCACATCTAGGGCCCATGAAGGGATGACTGCGTCGAGAAAATGTTGCACTTATGCATTAAAGATTATTCTCTAGACATAAATAAATAATGGAAACTTAGAGGGCATTGTGTTAAATAAAATAAGCCAGGCACAAAACCAAAGACCACATGTTCTCCCTGACAGGTGGGGTCATGCAGGCCTGGGGTTGAAGCTCAGCTGGCAAAGTCCTTGTTGTCGAGCAGGAGAGCCTGAGTTCTGGCAACAGAACCTGTGTAAAAAAAAAAAAAAAAGCCAGGCGTGGCTGAACATGTTTCTAATCCTATCACTGGGGAGCAGAGGGGGCAGATCTCTGGAGTCCTCTATCTAATCCACAAATGTAGGCCAATGAAAAGAGGCTGTCTTGAAACCACATTAGCTGCTGACGAATGCTGTCTGAGGATGACCTATTGTTGTCTCTACAGGCACACTCATATTTTCACACACACACACACACACATACACACACACACACACACACACACACACACCATACACATGAAATAAAGACTAGGCTATTATCTAAGAGGGGAAGAGTGAGGTGATACAAGAAGCTCACATAACTTATACCAAAATGTAATTACATAGGAGGAAAAGTCCTCACATTCTACAGCACAGTGGGGTGAGTACAGTCCACAGCAATTTAATACTTAGTTTAGAACAAACCAGAGGGGAGAGATTGGAAGTGTCTAACAAAGAAATGATAAAGGAGAAGAAAATGCTAACTGCCTGGCTCAATCAATACACTCTGCCTATGTTCAGACTTATCATACTCCACCTCTTAAATATGCATAATTATTCTGTCAATTACATATTTTAATGAAAATGCAAAATAAACTATTAATGCAACTTAAAATTTAAAGTGAAACACTTTATGAGCCTCCTAAGTACAGAAAGCTCTATTCTTTCTACAACCATTTTCTTTTTTAAAAATTAATTTATTTATGTCTACGGGTGTTTTGGCCACATGTATGTCTGCACGCCATGTGCACACCTGGTGTATACAGAACCCAGAGAGGATGCTGGATTCCCCCTGGCACTGCAGTCACAGGCAGCTGTGAGCTGCATATGAGTACTCAGAACTGAACCTGGGTCCTCTGGAAGAGAAGTCAATGCTCTTACTCACTGAGCTATCTCTCCATCCCCAACACCTATTTATTTTATTGTGCCATTTAGAACAGCAGTTCTCAACATATGGATTATGACCTCCTTTGGGGGTCGAGCAACCCTTTCACAGGGGTTGCTTATCAGAATATTCTGATTCAGAATCGCAGCAAAATTACAGTAGTAAAGTAACAGTGAAAATAATTTTAAGTTCCACAGCATGAGGAGCTGCATCAAAGGGTCGTGGCGTAAGAAAGTTGAGAACCCCTGGTTTAGAAAATGCATATGTGACCAGGATGTGGTGGTGCACACTCTTAATCCTAGCACTGAGGAGGCAGAGGCAGGTGAATCTCTGCAGGTTTAAAGTCAAGGCTGCATAATGAGATCCCGTCTCCAAAAGAAGAAAAGAAAAGGGAGGGGGGACATAGGGAGCCAGACTTAGATCCCTCTTCCCAAGGAACTTAGCATCTAGGGCTGAGGATTATATAAATGAGAAGTAACCGCATTAGGAAGAAGTGCAGATGGATTTTCTGTGGTAAAGAACTGACTTCCAGCTGGGAAGAACAGAGAATAGAATGCCCAGGCCTCATTCTACCTGATATAGAAATATGAAATTGAAGATACACGCCAGCAAGTGAACACAGACACCCACATACAGCCATATGTTTTAGGAGAGGTCCCAAACTGTCCTGGTTCAAGGAAGAGTGGGAACTATGTGTCTTTTTATTTATTTATTTATTTAAAAAAAGAAAACAAACTATCTTTTTTCATTATACATACCAATACAAGTTCCCACTCCCTCCCCTCCTCTCATTCCCTCCACATACCCTCCTACCCCATCCCCATCCAGACAGGGTAAGGCACATTGCTTTGAGGAAGGTCCAAAGCTCTCCCCACTATATTGAGACTGAGAAAGGTATCCATCCAAAGAGAATGGGGTCCCAAAAAGCCAGTACATGCAGTAGGGATAAATCCTGGTGCCACTGCCAGTGGCCCCACAGTCTGCCCCAGCCATGCAACTGTCAACCACATTCAGAGGGACTAGTTTGGAACTATGCTTGGTCTCTCCCAGCCCAGCTGGGGTTGACAAGGTCCCACTAGCTCAGATAGACTGTTTCAGTGACTGTTCCCATCATGGTCTTGACTTCCTTGCTCACACTCATTCCTCCCACTCTTCAGCTGGACTTTGGGAACTCAGTCCAGTGCTCCAATGCAGGTCTGTCTCTGTTTCCATCAGTTGCTGGATGAAGTTTCTCTGGTGATATTTAAGATATTTATCAGTCTGACTACAGGGCAAGTCAAGATCTGGCCCCCGCTCCTCTATTGCTTAGTGTCTTAGCTGAGGTCATCCTTGTGAATTCCTGGAAATTTCCCTAGAGCCAGGTTTCTTGCTAATCCTAAAATGGTTCCCTCAATCAAGATATCTCTTCCCTTGCTCTCATCTTTGTCCTTCCTCCATCTTGACCACCTACCTCAGGATCCAGCAATTCCACTCTTGGGAATATACCCAAAAGATGCTCAATCATACTACAAAGGCATTTGTTCAACTATGTTCATAGTAGCATTATTTGTAATAGTCAGAACCTGGAAACAACCTAGATGCCCCTCAAGATAAAGAATGGATAAAGAAAATGTGGGACATTTACACATTAGAGTACTACTCAGCAGAAAGAAAGAAAGAAAGAAAGAAAGAAAGAAAGAAAGAAAGAAAGAAAGAAAGAAAGAAAACAATGACATCTCGAATTTTGCATGCAAATGGATGCAATTAGAAAATGCCATCCTGAGTGAGGTAACCCAGACCCAGAAAGATGAATATGGTGTGTACTCACTCATAAGTGGACACTAGCTATAAACAAAGGATATGGAGCCTATAGTTCATGATCCAAGAGAAGCTAAGTAATAAGGTGAACCCTAAAAAAAAAAGCATATATAGATCCACCTGTAAAGTGGAAACACACAAGATCGCCTGACAAAATTGGGAGCATGGGGAGGGGGGGGGAGAAGAGAGGATGAAAGGGGAAGAGGAGAGAAGAAGGGGAGGGGCAAGGAGAACTTGAGGGAACTATGTGTCTTTAACAAATTAGATGATCTCTCTGACCTTGTCTCCTATACACTAAAGGGAATGGGCTGTGGGGACAGTCCTGGCGGCTCTGTGTTCAGATTCTGCTTGGATTAAGAGACAAATGGGCATGGGAGACAACTGTTTACTTGGCTGCGGCACTGCTGCAGAGGGAGGGTTTGTGAGCCTCGCAGGGCTGAGAGGTGAAGCCTTCTAGAAACCTAGAGCCTGGCTCTGGGAGGAGCCTTTTCAATCTCGAGAAATGCTGCGTTTGTTGAGCAGGGTACTGTCTTTGTCCTCCCTCTCACTCATGGGGTCATACAGCGGAACACAGAGGAAGTTGGACTTGGAATTCAGGATACTTCTTGGTGATTATTGGTGGGCTGCCTGGACTCCGATGGTCCCGCCCATGGTGCTACAAGTCAAAAAATAGGTTAAATACCAAAGATAACACCAGCATGTAAAAGAGATCAACAAACATCTTCTGGAAATGACTTTGGAGATGCGCCTGCGATGAGCCCGGGGTGGTTTTAAATGCCTTCGGCTTCCTTTCTCTAGTGGTAACAGGTCAGCGGGCTTGGGCACCGTCGGCAACCCCGATGCTATCAGCCCTGGTGCACTGTGTCAGCCAAAAGTGTATAATTTCCAAAGGAGGCTATTTTATAAAAATAGGCATCGCATCCATGTACAATTAAGCATCCACTAATAAAACTACGTCAATTGCATTCTCAGGCAGCTGCAGATGGAATGGTGCTAAGTGAAGCTGTCAGCAAAGAAGTGTAGTAACATACACTCCAGAGTTCTCGTCATGGCTCTATGTAGAAAGATTCGAACATGAAA